GTTTTCCATAAGAAAAGATTAGTCACATAAAGAAAATTGCAATCTCCGGAGATGTTCATTCTTACTCACTCAAAAAAATCTATCCACAGAATATTGACTAATGCTTCTCCTTCAAGTTACTTATGTTAAACAATTATTTGTGCTTTTGTTTCTTCACTTAAAAATTGTATATTTTCAGCTTTATTTGAATTTCAGGCAGTTTAGACTATTGACTGCATATGATGGTTTCCTCCAGTAATTTCACTTAGAGAATTTGCAAGTCTGTAAATGAAATACCTTGGGTGTATCCCAGCTTTTTCAGTTAGTTTCTTTCCATTTTTTTACGTAAAATATTTATGCCTGTCTCATGCATGCATGGAAACTCTCTGGCAAACACAGGCATATCCTATAATAATCACTGGGCTGGATTTATAGTTGTTATTTCTGTTATATTTATTGAGGTTTTTTCTGGCATTTGATTGGCATTCTCCTACAGATATTGCACAATGCTTATACTCAAAATTAGTATTTGTGGAATTTAACAAGTAATTTGAAGTTCTGAAATGCTGACTTCATTTTCTGATGCTTGCCAGATATGCAAAGCAATCCACTGAACAAAGTAGTTGTAAACCTCTGACTTGTCAGAGGAAGTGTTTCTAAGCCATATCGTGATGATTGGAATACTCCTCTCCTTTGGTTCTCAGTATTCTCAGAGTTAGGTGCATTTACTGACTGTTCAATTACCTTACATTCCTTCTTGGTTTAATTACCTCCAATTTCTTACCCTTGGGGATGAGCCTGTTAGGGTTACTGAACAATTTGGTTCTGTCAGTAAGAAGAAACTTCATGGAATAATATGAAGTTATCGATGGATGTTATTCTGAGGGCCATTTCCCCCCCCTTCAAAGTAGAGTAGAATAGAATCTTTATTGTCACTTCAAATGTACACTAATCAGCATACATTAAAATGAAATTTCATTGCATTCAGTTCTCAAAAGGTAACCATTATACATATATCCACATACACACACATATATGACACAAACATTACAGTCTAGTTCGGATGTTTACATATACAAATAATCCTGGGAGTTTACAAGACGGATGGCATAAGGAACAAAGCTACAACACTGTCAAATAGTTTGCTGTCAAATAATTTCAGAAAAGTAAAACACTAAAAAAATATTTTAAAAATAAAAAACACTGTCAAATAATTTCAAAAAATTCCCACAACACTGTCAAATAATTTACTAAGACTGTATTATTATTATTATTCTCTCTCTTATTTATTCCTTCCCTTCCTTATCAGATAGTATCTATCTGATACTATCTGATCCCACTTATTATTATAACCAAGTTGCTTGTATCTTTCAATTATATTGTTTTTATTTGTTTCCTAGTACAATTTGATAGCTTTATTAGTAACCTTGATTATTACAAAGTGTTGTATCTCTTTATTCTTGAATGTATTTTATTCTCCTTATGTACACTGAGAGCATATACACCAAAGACAAATTCCTTGTGTGTCCAATCACACTTGGCCAATAAAGAATTCTATCCTATCCTATCCTATCCTATCCTATCCTATCCTATCCTATCCTCTATTCCATTCCATTCCATTCCATTCTAAAGAATTCTATTCCAGTATCTAGTAGTCCTGCTATAGATACTTCAAAACTTCCTCCCAGAGGGGAGCAACAGAAACAGACCATGAAATGGGTGTGTGGGGTCTATAAGAATACTTCAAGCTCTAAGCACATAGCACTTATAAGTCGTATCCTGAATAACAGGAAGTGAGCTTCCTATAATCTTCTCTGTCCTTACCAGTCTCTGTATGGATCTTGTAGCTAAGGCACTGCTGCCCCCAACCAAACAGCGATGCAGTTTGTTAAAACACTCTCAATCATGCCTCTGTAAAAAGTGGCCAGAACAGAAGGAGAAAAATCAGTTTTGACTCCTGGGCAAGATCCTGCCGTTTTCTTGGCAATGTTTTCAGATGTGATTTGCTGTACCTTTCACTCTTCTGAGCGAGAGTACCTGGCCCAAAGTCACCCAGCTGGCTTCATGTCTAAGGCGGGACCAGAACTCAGGGTCTCCGGCTGTCTGGCCTAGAAATTTCTTTCTTATTTATTTTACTTCTTTAGGGTTTTTTTTTTAATGTTTTTATAATTAATATTGATAAAAGGTAGGAGGTAAAGGAGTCCCTGAGGATTTTACTTTTCTTGTTGTTGCCGACTATAGGGGCAGTGCTCATCTCTGTTTCAAGGCCATTGAGCCAGTGCTGTCCAAATTTCCACAGACATGGGACCAGCATGTGATGGAGCACTGTTACCTTCTCACCAAAGTGGTACCTATTTATCTATTTGCATTTGTATGCTTTCGAACTACTGGTTTGGCAGGAGTTCACCCTGTCATGTGGCGCTTGGGTCTTGAACCTGGGCTGCTGGCTTTCCAGCCGACAAGCCCAGCATTTTAACTGATGAGACAACATGGATGCTTATTAATTGTGATTATTGATTATTATTAATATATTTATTAATACTGATAAGTGGTTTTATATATTTTATTAACTTTTAGCCTTCTTGTATGCCAAGAAAGTTGAGTCAGTTTGGTGAGTTGGGCAGCTATAAAATGTCAAAAATTTAATAGATAGATAGATAGATAGATAGATAGATAGATAGATAGATAGATAGATAGATAGATGCGTCCTCCATAAGATTGTCTTCTGTTCTTGCGGGGATATGATTGGTAGAAGAACAGATCAACTTTCAGATTATCTCCATGTTACTGCCTGTACTTTAGATATTTGAATGGTGCTTGCAGGATATCTTTGGTGAAAGAGTAATATGGGAAGAAACAGAATTTAACAGAATAACAGAGTTGGAAAGGACCTTGGAGGTCTTATCATCCACCTCCCTGCTCAGGCAGGAAACCCTATACTAGTGTTGGCGAACCTTTTTGGCACCAAGTGCCAAAACGGGAGCACATGCGCATGTGCCGGAAACTGGACGAGCAGCCGCCTGGGGCGCGTGCGGAGTTTTGTTACTGGGGAAATGATTATATTTGCTCAGCTGTTGTTTTAAAGGATTTTTTTAATGTGGCCCTTGAAACTTTAGTGAAAGTGTTTGATCAGTACTGCTTTTAGGTGACACATAGTGAAAAGTGAATTGGGGAGAGAAGGAAGGAAACAATCGTTACATTATATTGATAGACATTAAAAAGCCTTTAATCTGCCCAATTCCTTTTAACTGCCTTCTGATTTGGAGTCGAAGAAGCCCACCTCTACTCATAAAATAGTGTTTCCTTAAAGGCAATAAAATAGCTGAAATCTAATCAACATTTAAAAGGCTCGGGAATTTAGCACCTCTGCCTGGCCGGGAAGAAGATGATCCTTCCTGATGAAGGAGATAACAGACAAAATATTTTCTAAGTTCCTCTGACCATAAAAGTATCACACCTGGGTTTCCTATTTCTTTGTGGCCATAAAACTCATATCACGCTCTTGTGATCTCATGTCTTACACCGAGGGCTCAAAACGATATAAAAACCTTATTGGTGTGCCAGTCTGTGGTCGGTTGTCCCAGAAACAAGCCATGTACTGTTTCTGATCCAAATAAAAAAGTGAGCCATTTTCCCAAGCAGCTGCCTTTTGCATCTTCTTTCCTTGGTCTCGCTCAGAGAAAGGAACCCAGGGAAATTTCCACGGCAATATATAAAGTTCTAAGCAGCCCATTCTGGATGAGAAGAGAGGAAAGTTGTTGCAATCGCTCCTTTTATGGCTCATAATCTTGAGAGCGAGGAAAGACAACTTTTTGGAGAGGTCTTTGTCCCTCTGGATCAAAGGAATTTAAGAGGTACACTGAAAGCCAGACAGGCTTTTCCAGAGTAGCATTCTGCAGGTAGATGGCACTATTTAAAATTATCTCCTCGAAGATATTTATAGATCATTTTTAAATGGAACACTTGGAAGAGATCCTAGAGGGCAAGGTGGATAAATATGGGAAAGGTCTGTCATCTGCACCTCTATAACTGTCTGGTTTGGTTCTGCAACCCAACAAGACAGACACAGACTTCAGAGGATAATTAGAACTGCAGAAAAAATAATTACTACCAACCTGCCTTCCATTGAGGACCTGTATACTGCACAAGTCAAAAAGAGGGCTGTGAAAATATCTACAGACCCCTCACATCCTGGACATAAATTGCTTCAACTCCTACCCTCAAAACGATGCTAATAGAGCACTGCACACCAAAACAACTAGACACAAGAACAGTTTTTTCCTGAACGCCATGACTCTTGCTAAACAAATAATTCCCTCAACATTGTCAAACTATTCACTAAGTCTGCATTGCTATTGCTATTGGTCTTCTCATCGTTCCTGTCACCTATCTCCTCCCACTTGTGACTGCAAGGCTGTAACTTTGTTGCTTGTATCCTTGCGATTTATATTGATATTGATTGTTTCCTAGTATGATTTGATTGCTTATTGTACCGTATGACTGTCACTGGATGTTGTGCCTTGTGATTCTTGATGAATGTATCTTGTCTTTTTATGTACACTGAGAGCATATGCACCAAAGACAAATTCCTTGTGTGTCCAATCACACTTGGCCAATAAAGAATTCTATTCTATTCACTTACTCTTCACTTCTTACCCTCATTTGAGGGATTGAAAGAAAAATTGGGTTCTTTTAAGACACTTTCTACTTTGCCCATTGGGATATTCTCAGGGTACAGCCAAAACAGTCAAGATGGCAGCCACAATAGTATAATTGAATCTCCACTTATTTTTAATGTACATCCTATATATGCTTTATGTAAGTCCTCACCTTTCTAGTAAACACTGTAGCATGCTCTTATATAGAGCCAATTATAGGACTTAAAGGTAGATTTGGAGAAGTTTGACTTACTACCATTACCAGACAGGTTTTATCCCCCTTTCGTTTAAAATTTGTGGAAACATGCCCCCTTATCAGCATTTTCACAACAACACTTTTTGTTTGTAATTTCTCTTTTCCAGATAGATGATATACGGCTTCTGCAAATCAAAGATAATCCGGTTGCCTTGTTTCAGTAGCTACAATGAATCAGGTTGGATTCAAAATTACTAACAAATATCACATGGGTTTGTCTTTTGATTCAATGCTTATTGTTTATTCAGGAGGATTTTTTTAAAAAAAGTTGTATAATTTGCTTTCTTCTCAATGTCCAAGGTGTTAGTGGTACTAACGGGCAACATCCCTTCCCATTAGCAGCCAGTTTAGCGAAGACTGAGTACATTCAGTAGCTATGAAACAAAGAATTAAATACTAGCTGATGTGATATTGGGGGGAAAGGAGCTATTAATTTTCAAATTCAAAATTATCACAGGTACATTCCTGCTCCTCATCCTGTCATGTAGGGCCTGCACATTCTCTTAATAAGAATTAAATACTAGCTGATGAGATAGTTTGGGAGGGGGGGAAGGAGCTATTAATGTTCCAATTCAAAATTATCACAGGTAGATTCCTATTTGTTATTAATAATAACAAATGAATGTTTTGTGTCTCTCCAAACAGAGTGGCCATTATGATAATATAGAAGTTGCTGGTATTGTTCTCTACTCCTTCCTGGAAAACTCCTCCGGTGTTACTTTTGCTTCCAAGCTTTGTAGTTTGAAAAAACAGTTGTTAGTACCTTACAGTGTATATGATGATGGGGAGCTTCAGACAGATGGCAATAATTTTGGACGAGTAGAAGACAGAACATTAGGTGAGCAAAGTTCTTTTTCTCCTACTTTTCAGTTTGAATAACAAAGGAACTGTTATTAACACCTGGGTAACAACTTTGTTAGGCTCAACGTGTGTCCTCTTTCCAATGATGAAATTCTGCCAAAATTATCAAAAACCTCATGAAATTTCAAACTACACCCAAATGTTGAACTCTTAAAGTGGGTAGCGGGTGGCATATTTTTAACCATATTTCTATAGAGCAGCCGGTGTTTTGAAGGTAAGTGGACTAACTTTTGCCTGTAGATACTAGGTTTTCAATTGTTAAGAGCAGAAAGAAGCAGGTTTCTAGAAGGCCCTGTACACATCCATCCATGCTCACAGATTTTTTTTTTTTTTGCATTGACATTAATACATTGAATATTGAGCTGGAACACTGGTTCAATGGTAACAGTGGCCTTCTACACCTTAATACAGGTAGTCCTCAGCATGCAGCCATTCGTTTAGTGACCGTTGGAAGTTACAATCGCACTGAAAAAAATAATTTACAATCAGTCCTCATACTGACGAACATTGCAGCATCTCCACAGTTACGTGGTTAAAAACTCATGTCCTTGGCAACCAGCATGTATTTACAATGGTTGCAACATCCAACGGTCATGCAATCATCATTTGGGACCTTCCCAGCTGGCTTCTGAGAAGCAAAGTCAGTGAGTGGAAGCCTGATTCATTGAATGACCACATGATTTACTTAAAACAACTGTAGTGATTTGCATAACAATGATGACAAAAAAGGTCATAAAATCAGGCACAACTCAGTAACCAAGAGAAATTCTGGTCCCCAATTGTGATCATAAGTCGAGGACTACCTGAATATTTCTGCAGATGTCTTGAACTCCCACCTAATTTGTTCCTTCCAAAGTATGTGACCTCCAAATGAGATGAACTAAATCAGTGGTCTTCAAACTTGGCAGCTTTAAGATTTGTCGACTTCAACTCCCAGAATTCTCCAGCCAGCATAGCTGGGAGTTGAAGTCCACAAGTCTTAAAGCTGCCAAGTTTGAAGACCTCTGAACTAAATGCTTCTTTTCCTCGTGGGTGGGAATTAAGAGTCCTCCACAACTAGAGGACACTATTTTTTTTTTGCAAGGGATGGCATTAGAATTCCTTTGCCTCCTTCCAAAATGAAATTAATTTAAAAGCTATCTAATTAATCATTCTCATTAGGTTGTCCATCACTGCAATTTAATCCACTTGCTAATGTTCGAGGGTCTTTAGCTAATGCAAAGCATCAGTGCACTTCCAGCCGAACGCCTGGTTTAAAGCTGGGATGGGCTTTAAAACATCTCCGTGTATTCTGATATAGAAATCATATGCAGTGTCCAATCTTGTCCTAAATCCAGTATTCTAACGTTAGCTATGATCTATAGGTTGCACAATGTTCTTGCATGCTTGAAAGCCAATTTGTTCTTTGTCTTTTTCATTCATGGAATTAAATTCAGTGGCCAATGAGGAAACTTTCCGGAAAATAGGAGCGCGGTTGGCTGTAATCGGTGATCAACTGGCTGATGAAATTGAGGACTCATTTGTGAACAATCTGGCACAACAATTCATGATGGAAAATGTGTCCAGTCAGGTGAGAAAGAGAAGAAACTTAAGAGTTTAATAAGATAGCACTGGAGGACTTTAATGAGAAAATGAACCCTGTATTTGTGAGGTTTTTTTAAAGGGTTGTTTTCTTTTTGTCAGTCATGACTCCTTTTTTCAAATACCACCTGTGTACCTAGTAAATGGCATTAGGTGATTGGAAGTAGCTCAGTGTTCTGCAATTTAATTGAAGAATGAATTGGGAGGGCAGTCGTGTTGCAGAATACAGCTAAAAATAGAAGTTGAATTTGGATGATCTTTGAAGTATCTCCTTAGCTGATATAAAAGGGATAGAAGACACAAAACTCCAGTGAAGGCATGAGGATACATCCCTCCATTCATACATGCTGGAATGGTACAATTAACTAATTAGTAACTGAATGTTGTTACTTTGTACATAATTGAAACTATAAGGCTTCTCTCATAGTTAACAGTGACCATTAATTTACATTTTATTTGTAAAGTTTTTTAGTTGTAGTCTTTATTACAGTCAGAAGAAAAATCTAGCATCTGACTGGATTAGAGTTCAAGAGGCCGGAGGAGCAGGATTTTAGAGATATTTGTTCTTCTGCTTCTGTAGGTGATCACAAATAGACACAAGAACAGTTTTTTCTCGAATGCAATCACTCTGCTAAACAAATAATTCCCTCAACACTGTCAAACTAGTTATTAGGTCTGCATTACTATTAATCTTCTCACAGTTCCTATCACCCATCTCCTCCCACTTATGACTGTATGACTGTAACCTGGTTGCTGGTATCCTTGATTTATATTGACTGTTTCCTAATATGATTTGATTGCTTATTTGTTCCCCATGACTATCATTAAGTGTTGTACCTTATGATTCTTGACGAATGTATCTTTTCTTTTATGTACACTGAGAGCATATGTACCAAGACAAATTCCTTGTAAGTCCAATCACACTTGGCTAATAAAGAATTCTATTCTATCACCCAGCATCTGTCTGAAGCAGTGAGGAACGTTGTGGCAAGGATGCCTCCGGATATGGAACAGGAAAAAGCCATGTTAATGGCCGCAATGATTTTGGCCAAAAAAGTAGTCAACGTAGTCCCTGCGTTGTTGCAGCAAGTGTTCAGCACAACAGTGAATTATATCAACCAGAACCTCCACGATTATGTGAACAATTTGGGACCTGAGGTGATTATAGATCAAATCACAGCATTACATTCTAGTTATATTGATCTCCAAATCAGAGGAGATGGTTGGCTGATTGAGGAATTCTGAGAATATAAGGCCATGTCTTAAAAGCTGCCAAGTTTGAGAAATGCTGATTTAAATACATTTATAAGAGTGATTCTTATGCCTCTTTCAAGGAGGGTTCATTTAAAGTCTTATAACCTAATGCTGAAAAGGTGGTGTGGGAAATTTCCCCTTGGGGTTTAGTTCCTGCTCAGCCCTCCTACCCAGAAAGCCAAAAAGCGGGAAAACGGTTTCTTAGCTCCAAGGTGTTGGGAAAGCCTGGAAACAGTGGCAGCCTAGGAGTTTTGGCTTGATCCACTTCTACATGTAGTTCTAGATTTATGACCACAATGGAGCCCAAAATTTCCATTGTTAAGCAAGACAGTGGTTAAGTGAATTTTGTGACGTCTTTGCATAGTTGTTAAGTGAATCATTGCAGTTGTTAGGTTAGTAAATTGTTGCTAAGTGAACCTGGCTTCCCCATTGACTTTGCTTGTCAAAAGGTCACAAAAAAAAGGTCACAAAAAGTGATCACATGACCCCAGGACACTACAACCATCATAAATATATGCCACTTGCCATTTTGATCATGTGACCATGGGGATGTTGCAATGGCCATAAGTCACTTTTTTCAGTGCTGTTATAACTTTGAATGATCACTAAACAAATGTAAATCAAGGACTACCTGTATTACACTGACTCCGTGAGAGCTCTTTGGAGGCCAAGAAGTGGTTCCAATCCCTGTTAAAAGCAGATCCAATACTGTATTGTATATTTAAACGGCTAATTCTGTAGCTGTAAGTGGTATCCTTAAACGACCTAAAACATGTCCTGAATTTGTTGAGAATTAACATTTTATGCAAAACCTCTTCAATACACTCTTCATTAGATCAGGGAGTGATGGACAAAGGTCACAAATTAAACATGGTTTATTCAGTTAATTCAGCTCAATGAATTATACATTAACTAAGTAAACTAGGCTTGCACTATGTCCGAGGATAAAATGCAAGTTGTCTATGTCTATTGTGTGATATCTAAGCACTATACAATATATTGGATCTTACTGGGGACAGAATGTGCAATCTTGTGCTGATTTTCAGCTTGTCTTGATACATTCTTGGTTAGCTAGTTTAGAAAATAACTGAAGAATCATTTTCTTAATGTAACAGTTGTAGTGGATGCATCTAATTCTCTCTCTCTCTCTTCTAGAACTGAACAAAAGGGATGCACATCTGCATGCACGAAGTAATTTGTTTTTTTTAAAAGTTTTTAAAGATTAAGAAAAATCGTGTCATTTTGGTATTTTAAGATGTTTTTGAACTTTTTATCAACAGTAACTTCATTATTCTACATAGTTGACTGAAATATGAATTGGCAACCTTTTCTACTTGAAATCTTGGGCCATTTTTTATGTCCCTTGTAGAAAAAAGCAAAGTGGTTTATTATTCTCAGGAATAAAATTAATATTCTCAGGTGTTGATGGCATCTCTCCTTGAAGAATAGAAGCTAATGACCACCTTACAATACCATTAGACAGTCTGTTCTGCCACTTGCTATTTAAGTGAATAGTTGATGGAATATGCTTGATTTATAGTTGCGAATTTTTTTAAAAAATGCATGCTGTTCTGTTCCATTTATCTGCCATTTAAAAATTGCCATAATATAAAGTCTTAAAAAATTAAAATGTGTATTGTTTTTCATATTTAATAGACAGCATTAATGCACAAGCCAGAAACAATTGGTGTTCTCAACTGAGGCTGATTATCTTTACTATGGGTTTTGTGGACATATTAGGAAAGGAAATTTTCAAACAACACCAATACAGTAAAGGTCAATTATAATATTTGTAATTCTTTCTGCTTTGGGTTTGGCCATTGCTGGAATATAGATTTTAATGGGGGGGGGGGGAATAAGTGACAGCCATAGTACAATTTTTAAATATTTGATGGTCTCTGTATTAAAGTTAGGAATGAATTTGGAAATTGTTTACAAAAACATTACATTTTATCAATTGACTTGAAAGGTTTATATACTTGTTTTTGACACTGTGATTTAGATTGATAGATGTTTGAAAAGTAAACTGAAAAATTCTAGCGTGTACTGGCAAGAACAATGGAATCTCACTATTTATTGGTTGAGATATTGGGTCATTGGAATGAACATAACTCTAAATATTTAAATAGATATGGCTCTCTTTTTTGTGCTTTGATTTTTCAACTGTGTAGGCTTTCTGACCCAAATATGGATTATATCTGAGGAAAAACCAACTTGTGGAAGGCCAAAGCCCTTCTTTTTTTACAGCTAATACATTTTTAAAATAGTATATTTTGCGCCAGCTAATAAAAATCCACACTCTTTTTCTTCAAAATTTAACTTTAATAAAATACAAATAAGGGCGTACTCTTACTTGAGATTATTGGTCAAGCAAAAATACACATAATCTTTTATAAACAGTAGGAACACTTGTTTTTAACACTGGAAGCAGTATTTTTCAATTCATACAGTAGAAGCCTGTAACAGTAAGATGGTGATTATGTCTGCCCTCCTCACCGTGTTTCTTAAAATAGCTCCAGGGAAATAATTATGGTCATACAGCTTAAGGAAATACCACTCTGCCTTAACACGTCCAATGCTAAGAAGAAGAGTTGTGCATCCTCATGAAACTGTTAGCGCAAAGTAATAATAGTACTGTAGTTCAAGAAGAAATCATCAAATGGCTTAATTTTTTAACTAGCATGGGTTATTTTAGGGTTCTATGAATTCTTGGAAAGGTTTTCAAGCCATAAATACAGGCAAATCTCTCTTCCTGGATCAGTGTACAAACAAGGTCAGACAGGCAGCTTTCCAACCAGATTAAAAGTCACAATGTAGAAATGCTTCAGATATGCACAAGCGGGTTCTGAAGCATCTATTTGTTAAAATAATTACTCAGCTCCAGCTTATTGTGCAAAACACTAAGCAAGCATGACACTTATTTTGCTTTCAAGAACTCTTGCAGGTCATCCACAGCAGGTAGTTCAGGAACCAAAAGTATATTCACATGAAGGAAACGAGTATTTCAGTAGGCAGCAAAACTGTTTTTACTGCGTCTTTACTGCAGCCTTTTTCCCCAATGGAAGCAGCAGGAAGGAGAAAGTAAGTATAGTTTGCAGCATTTAGTCCAACAACATTGTAGAACTTCTATTGCAGAACTATGAAATATTTTGAAGTGACAGTTATATAACACATATTATTGAAATCCTACTGGTATACCTTTACTTTGTCTTCATTTCACTAGCACTGGGAAGGATATGGTAATATTTTCTACAGAATTAATGACTGCAGTTCCAAAAAACCAAATACAAGTTTTCACATCTTAACCAAGGTCTAATCCATTATGAAGCACCAGTAGTCAAAACTGGAAAATTTGCCCCTTAAATTCAGAAATTAGGTAATCTATAATCAAGTTGTAATATATCCGTATTTGAAAGGGTTAATTCATCATTTCCCCCTAATTCTAATCCTTAGCACTCTAACATTTTACTGGCTATGAAAAGTAAATCATCTCACTGTTTATTGGTTGAGATATTGGATCATTTGAATGAGCATAGCTATAACTAAGTAATCATCCTGGAAATGAAAGAGAAAGTATCTCAGGTGTTCAGTCTGTTATCTTCTGTTCAAATAGACACGGCTGAAATTGGACAAAATGGATTGATATTTAACCTTACACTGATTACAGGTAGTCCTCAACTTACGACCACAATTGAGTTCAAAATCTCGTTACTGAGACATTTCTTAAGTGAGTTTTGCTCTATTTAACAATCTTTCTTACCACAGTTCTTAAGTGAATCTTTGCAGTTGTTAAGTAACCTGGTTGTTAAGTGAATCTGACTTCCGCATTGACTTTGCTTTGTCAGGTCACAAAAGGTCATCACATGATCTCAGGACACTACAACCGTCATAAATATGAGTCAGTCTCCAAGTGTCTGAATTTTGATCATGTGACCACGGGGATGCTGCAACAGTTATAATATGAAAAATGGTCATACATCACTTTTTTTCAGTGCTGCTTCGAACAGTCACTAAATGAACTATTGTAAGTCGAGGGCTACCTGTATTTCCTCCATCATTTACTGTAGATAAGAGGATAAGCTGCAGCCGAAATCTATAGCAATCTTCTAGCAACAATGCTTCTATCAAAACATAATTATTTAATATGTCCAATATCAGTTTCCTCCCCACCCCACTCCCACCCCTACACATTAAAAAAATGTAACTTGTGGTTACAGCTAGATTTTTGATTTTGGGGCAGAAAACAGTTAATCCCACTGGAACACACTGAGGCACTTCATTCTGAAAAATGCATGATGAGTACTATGAAAAAGTGCATGTATATTTAATCAAGACTTGTAAATACTTATATATTACACCAAGTGTCCTATAGTATTTGAACACAAATGTTTATAGGTGTAGCCTCCCAGACATGCATACTGACTAGAGATGGGATGTTAACTACCGTGTTTCCCCGAAAATAAGGCCGTCTTATATTTTTTTGAACCCTGACATAAGCACTTGGCCTTATTGCCATGCACTCAAAAAGCCTGATTGGGCTTATTATCAGGGGATGTCTTATTTTTGGGGAAACAGGGTAAAACACTCCCAACTCTATCATCAAATTTGATTTTTTTAATAATAGGTTTAATGGGAAGGGAAAGAGGAAATTGTAGCTCATCTCCAAAATATGTAAAAAGAGGCTGCTGCCATGTTACTGTTCAAGTAAAAACCTGTGATACTATGTTACTGATGACAATGTCACCATCAGAGCTTTCCAACACACACAAAATAACAATTTGACATAAATGATCAATTTTATTTTTTTTTTCCTGGGCCCAATTATAGCTGATGGAATAAAAAGGAATCGTCTACACATAGAAAAGAAGTTACCTGAAAAGTTACATGAGCTTTACAAGACATGGTTTCAAATCATTTTTCCTCCAGTGGCCAGGAAACTGGAAATTGGAAACAAATGCCATTTCGTGTCTATGGACATTCTCAATCATCCAGGTCATGGTTGCCCCAAAGGCGCTTTTCCAAAAGGCAGCTGGACTTCCTTGGTTTTTTTCCTTGAAAATGTTTTGCTTCTCATCCAAGAACTGAAGAAGCTTGGATGAGAAGCGAAACGTTTTCAAGGGGGAAAAAAAAAAGTCCAGTTGCTTTTTGGAAAAAGCACCTTTGAGACAAATGCTATTTCAGTTAACTGCTGAGTCATTTCCTTGAAGATTTTGAATTCATTACAACGATAAAAGTAAACTTAAGTGTTCCAATCTTGCAACTGAATTAACAAATCAGATTTTAATCTATAAGTAATCAGATTTTAATCTATTAAATACTGGAATTTTGTAGGGCCATACTGCTTCAAGTTTAGATAGAAAAAGTGTTTTGGAACTTGCAGAAGTGCTTCACAGCACTTGTTTTGAACTTTCTAAAGCAACTATCTTTTTCTGAGAAACAGCAAATCTAGAGGGAAATCATCCATATTTCTTTAAAGCACAATTGCTTTAAAGAGTTGCAGACAAGTTTTCTATTTATACTTCATACATTTTGAAACAATTTTGAATTAAATCTGTAGAAGTAGTACTCGACGTATGACCATAACGGCCCAAAATTTATGTTGCTAAGCAAAACAGTTAAGTGAGTTTTGCCCCATTTTATGACCTTTCTTGCCACAGTTGTTAAGTGAATCATTGCAGTTGTTAGGTTAGTAAATTGTTGCTAAGTGAATCTTGCTTCCCCATTGACTTTGCTTGCCAAAAGTGATCACATGACCCCAGGACACTGCAGCCGCCATAAGACATGCTAGCTGCCAAGCACCCAAATTTTGATCATATGACCCTGGGGATGCTACAGTGGTCGTTAAGTGTGAAAAAATGGTCATAAGTCACTTTTTCCAGTACCATTGTAACTTTGAACAGTCACTAAACAAATGGTTGTCAGGTCGAGGACTACCTATATAGTATTCAATTCTTGACCTTGTACTTTTTTGCTTACTACATGGAAATATTTTCTTCTTTTGCATTCATCAAAATGGTGATAGGTACTTACATGAAAGGAGTGTATCTTTGATAACTAAACTGACACGATAAAGCTGGATGAATGAGGGGATAGGGACAGAGACACAACAATAGCAGATCACAAAAATGCTTAATGTACAATGATAGAAAAAAAAAACATTACCTTTCTCCAAAATGCATTATACTTTCATCCTTACATGGAAGGCTTTCATTTCATAGCTTTAGGGGTTTAATCATAAAATTTGGGAGCAATGCAGTACCTGAGGAAGCTGAGACAAAAGGGTATGAAGTAGCCTCATGCTACATGATTAGAGAACCTCTCATTCAAGAGGTGGAGGTGAACAAAGAAGCTGCAATAGCAGCTACATAAAGGAATTCTCCAGGGTTAACAATTAACTTTTCCATTGCCCTGGGATTTCCTGATCCGATTTCCAGTGTATAAGCAACATCCCACCCCCCACCCCAATTTTTTCAGATATATTGAGATACTTAAATGTGCAAGGGAGTTCCAATATTACCCCTATAATTAAAGAGGAAGATCCAGTCCCAGGCCACTAAAAACATGATTGTCCTAGAAATAGCAGTAAACTCATGCCCCACCTTCCTGTCACGTTACACAGATTTCTCATTAACAGGAGGCATAGCAAACCTTAAGTCAATGCAACCAATTCAGGCAGTATTTCTGAAGAGAACAGTTGACTACTTCTTCCTCAGTGTCAGCACTACACCTACTGCGACAGCCAGGATAGCTACTGCAGCTGCCCCACCATAGAGCAGAAGTGATTTGCCTTCTGGCAAAAGAATGGGTTTCTCCTCTCCATCAGACGACTTCTCTTCAGAATAGCTCTCTCTCGGTAGTTTTGCTTCTTCTTCTGGTAGCTGTATTTTCTCAGGCTTGGGGGAAGCCTTTTCACTTGAAGGAGTTAGTTGTTTGGCAGTTTTACTCAACATCAAAGGATCAGGATCAGGATATTCCACTACGCTCCCTTCTTTGTGACCCTCAGTGGGCAAAGGTGCAGAAGGGCTTAGTCTTTTGATCAATAAGCTTTCAGCCTCTGACTCCGTTTTCAGCAATGCAGCTGGGACTTCTGGCAAGCTCAATTTTTTAGCACTTGCTTGCAGGCTCACTTCTGACACTGCTGCCTCAACACTCTCTTGTATCTCTTCCTTCTCAACATGTACAATATCTGAATTTGAAGAGTTGTTTTCACTCCTTTCTTCACCACCTTCATTGCTGTCCAAGCTTTTGATTTCTTCAGGATCCATAGCTACTTGCTGCCACGACTCGGGCCCCAACGAAACTGGCAAGCTCTCTGTATGCCAGCTCTGGCTGGCCGACAAAGAAACAGGTAAGCTCTCCGACTGCCAAGATGTTGTTACTGTGGGTGACTCAGGTGGGCTCACCTGGCCTGAGTTGTCACTAGTTAAGATGTAGATGTCATTGCTGTCTTCAGCAATGATTCCATGGAACTCTTCCTCTTCAGAATCCAAACTAAAAACAGTTCCCTGGGTGGAGGGGAAAATAGCAGTCATCAAAACCATCAGAGCTCAGAACATATACTTTTAAGCAATATATATTATTTAACAGCTAGAGGAATCTGAAATACTGGTAGTGCTCACTTGGCAGTCCCAGAAGTCCTGATTGTGGTCATTCGGTGAAGACTGAACCATATTTAGATGAAGATCTCAAGCTTCTTCAGCCTCGTGCAGATGAGGCCTGGCAGTCTTGCAGTTGCCTCTGCTTCAACTCTCCCCGCTCCCATCTTCCCTCATCTCTTCTCTTTTGGCCACCCCACCCTCTGACCTTCACTGTCTCCTTCCTCCCACTGCTGGCCCAGGATCCAGGCACTGGCCAAAGCTGCAGCCAAAGATGTAGGTAGCAAGCACAACAGCGCCTTGTCTGCCTAAGGGAACTCACTGAGCCCAGCCAAGGAGGAAGCTGTGGAATGGAGCTAGTGGAGAAGGCAGGATGGTGGTGCAGGCAGAGGTTCCCTGGGTAAAGATGGCAGCAAGTCAGTGCCTCATCACTGCCCTGCCTCTTCTGCTAGCTCCACCCTTGCACAGCGCCTGGATCCCAGGCCAGCAGTGGGAAGAAGATGTCAGCTAGGAATGGCGGGAGTGGGTGACTGTGGTAGAGTATAGAGTGGAGATAGGGGGGGAGAGCAGGTGGGGAGAGTTGAAGTGCTGCACTTGTAAATGAGGGCTGTTTTTTTAAAATCATGTGACCAACAGGAGCACTGCAACTACTTCAAGCACTGGCCACAACTATCATTCATTCAGCGCCATCAAAACTCTGAATAATTACTGGACAAATGGCTGTTAAGCAAAGACTAACTATATGCAGTAGCACTTACTGGTATTAGAACCAAGTTCTGAATTTTAATAAACAAATTAGAAGAAAACTATGTTACTACTGAATAGGCAATTTATAGTCATAAAGAAAGTGATAAAACTTTGGAACTATTTTTTACTTTGTAGTGCATTTACGCAAACTCCATGATATGGCATTTAAACCTAAGAATAACTTATTTGTTCTATTTTTTTTTTTTTTTAAATTTGATTTATATGCCGCCCTTCTCCAGAGACTCAGGGCGGCTTACAATGCGTTAAGCAATAGCCTTCATACTTTTGTATATTTTATACAAAGTCAGCTTATTGCCCCCACAAACTGGGTCCTCATTTTACCCACCTTAGAAAGGATGGAAGGCTGAGTCAACCTTGAGCCTGGTGAGATTCGAACTTACAGTAATTGCAGACAGCTGGTGTTAATCACAATGCTTTTAGTCTGCTGAGCCACCAGGCCCTGGTATTTGGGTCAGTACCAGATTTCCAAATCCAACCATGTTTTAATTCTATTTACCGATCAATACATTTGAAGAGTTTATTGGGTAACAGAGGATTTAGAGAAATGCAATAATAATACTCAAATGCTTTAGCTGAAAAGACAAAAGCAGGTTAAGTATTTGAATCTCAGCACACAGCTTCAAAGAGCTAGGAACATAGCTGGATTGGTTAGAAATCCTATGGTAGGCTTTAAAGCAAATTTATCTTTTCCTAAGCTTACAGTGCTGCCCTCCACTGTTCATATGCAATCCTGAAAAAAAAATCTCAATTTGTACAAGTTATTCCCAATATATACTATGTGCATGCTTAAATTTTATCCTCCATAAATTCACATCTTTGCCCAGCTCTACATTCTAATACCTTCCAAAATTAACAATAATCTCATGATCAAACAAAAAAAGTAACAATGTTTCCTGTTTATTTTTTCCCAATTCTAGAAACCTATTATAAAATTTCATCACAGTTTTAAAAAGTTTAATTTACTTTATTTGAATCAGGAGAACTTAAATAATTATTATGCCAACATAGAAAAATAAGCTAAATGCACAGACTATGCAGTCCTGTTTGCCATTAGGACAGAAACATTCATCCATTATTCAGGGAAAGCTCTTAGAACTTCCACTGATGGCCACTTTTCACATCCATCCATCTGTGCTAATAGAATGTAGCACATTCAGACAGTTGCACTGGGACTGGCCGGCAGCCATCCAGCAAGCATTTATTTGCAAATCCCCTATCATTCCTTTTCAATGATCAAGTTGTCATATGGGCTGAATGGCCTAATAGAGAAAAGTACACGTTATTCACTCATGAACGGTTCCTTTTCCTCTGAGCTCTACATGTTTCTAGGCTGGCTTGCTCTACTCCCTGCTCTACTGCCGTGCCCCCCCGCCCTTGTTTCAGCACAGAAAATCATAAAACGAATGAAGTGCGCAATAGCATTTATAATTGTGACAGCACCTTGTGGGGAAAAGTTCCCATAATTCTCTCTACTTTAGGGCATGGCATGGATAGGTTTTCCCATCAGATATTACTTTTACTAAGGAAAACTTAAGAGATCAGAAGAAAACTCAGGAGGGATATGGATAATACATCAGAAAATCTTTTCCTGGAGGCGATATTCTACCACTCTGCTTAATTTGTGAATATATGTAAATCTAGCTATTTTTTAAATTCCACATATCTACTAAAATAGAGTACCACTATAAAGAAGCTTAAAAACAGGTTAATTTTTCAGTACTACTATTTATGTTTTGGAAACAACACAATTCATTATCCCTAGGAGAACAGTACAGGTAATTCATTTAATTGTTACACATTTCAGGAGCCAGGTTCTCAGGGAAAATAGCTTTTTACTATATTAATAAAAATATAGACATAAACATTTATTTCTATGAGATTTATTGCAAAAAATTGAAATGTATTTGGTAAAACACTTGACAATTTATATATATTTAATCAGAATCTCAAATACTCAAATACTTTGGCCACCTAATGAGAAGGAAGGACTCACTGGAGAAGAGCCTAATGCTAGGAAAGACTGAGGGCAAAAGAAGAAGGGGACGGCAGAGAATGAGGTGGTTGGATGGAGTCACTGAAACAGTCAGCGTGAGCTTAAATGGACTCCGGGAGATGGTAGAGGACAGGAAGGCCTGGAGGAACATTATCCATGGGGTCGTGAAGGGTTGGACACGACTTTGCGACTAACAACAAAAAATCAGAATCTAATGTCTATACTAATTTGATGAGGGGATCCCAACAGACTACTGTACATTTACTGCAAAATCCTCTCTCAATGTCAAAAAAAAAAAAAAAAAAAAAGACTAAAGAGGCATGGTGATAAAACAGACATAACTGCAATTCTTACATGCAAATTTGCAGGTTTCATGGCAAGAAATCAAGTAAAATAAGGACGGGAACAGAATCACCTATTCCTTATAGGTACAATATCCCACAAAAAGAGGTTTTATACAAAGTTAAAGTTTGCTAGGGAATCTAGAGCCTTTTCTACACAAGTATGCCTAAAGTTTAGAACATAGAAATGTGTACAACAGATGTACATGAAACATAAAGCTGAGTAATTTAATGCAAATTATATTTTTGAGGTCACAGAAGAAAGGTGTACAGTTCTTCCATTTCAATTAAAGCTGCATCACAGGCTACAAAAACCTTAATGAACCAAACTACAGGCTTTTTATTGTCTCTAAGATGCCAGTAGAAGAAGATACTGTATCCAAAGATGCCCACGGTAATGTCGCTATCTATCGAACGCAAAAAACTCCAGCGTTCAACTGTAGCTTAACATCAGGAACCGACTATCAGCAAGAGCCAGTAGGATCAGATGTGGGTCATATCCATACGTTTACATAATCATTGTTGTTGTTTTATGTTATTTATTTTATATCCTATATTACATTTTTACCTCAATGTTTTATGTTTTTAGTATTGTTAGTCAACATTTCTTTAAAAAAATGAATGTAAGGGCAATTAACAAAAGCATAAATATTGTATTTTTAAAAAGCAATATGTCCATCCAATCTCAGGTTGCCTTATTAGAATTTTCTAAGCAATTTCAGAAGTGCTGTAATCAAAACATGAGGAATATCTAAATTTATTTAATATTTGCAAGTTATTGTACCCAAAAACAAGATGTTTTCATATAAGTTTGCACAAGAATAAGCTATAATATAGGCTTCTTTCTATCAAATATGATACATCAAGCTGATTAAAATCCACTATCTTCCATTTTAAATCACTGTGTGAAAGAAAGAACTAAACAAATAAATCAATTCCTGAAAAACATGAGTAGCTGTTGGAAACAGGTAGTATAAAATATTTCACATGCCAAATGAAAGTCAGGTTTCATACCAATTGTTTCATAACAATATACCAATTTTCCTGAAATAAGTATCTCATTTCCATAGCCAAATTAAACCTGAGTGCATATTATTATTATTCTACTAGTAAGTGCACACTATCCTATCTAAATATCTTCAAAGTATATTGCTATCTTGGTTTAGCATTACCTCTAATAATTTCTGCTGCGTCATTTAGAGTCAAAATCTTAATATTAAGTCTCAAAAAACCCATAGTATTTTTAGACCCTGGAAAGTAAACAGATAGAAATAGGAATCAAACAATTATGGTTTAAGTAGAAAATAAATGTTCTCCTTATAATTTACTCACCAGAATTTTAAACACTGTCAATTTTAGAACCAAAACAAACTAAAATAACACATCATATTTAACAATCAACCATACAATCATGTACCAGTGAAGGAATCTTTAGATCATTCTATGAACTTTCATCCAAAAACAAAAAATACTGAATTATGCACTGCCAATTCCATTTTGTCTTTTAAATTCAAATATATTTAAACGTTCCAAAGATTTTAATGATGCAAAGAACTGAAAAGCAGTACAACCCACAAGTAGATACCTGACATTAGAAAAATAACGTTCAAGTAACAATATTTAGTCATTTTCACTCCTATGCTAATTCTCATGTCCTTTTCCAAAAGTCTATGCAGCACTGAAAATAAGGAAAAGGGTGATATTTAAAGCATGTATCACCTCAGTAGAAAAACCTTACCTAAGCTTACTGTTCCTATTCTGCAGTTTTCCAAGAGAAGCTTCTCATGAAACAGATGCTACCCACAGAGGAGAGTGAGTGAGTGAATGGAATAAGGGAAAGGGAGTGTACATACATCAGCTTGTGCCTTAATACTGCTTTGGGGCATCTGTGAAGCTAAGCTGCTGCCAAATTAGAGTGGACATTTTTAATTTACCCAAGGAGAAATACTAAACCTTTCCCTTTCTAAGCACTGCTTGCAAAATAACCTTTGTCTATAAAAATGCTAAAGGGCTGGTCTCTTATCTTATTAAATTTCATCTCTGAAAATACTTGCATGCTACCTTAAGAAAAACAAACAAGATGAATGAGTCAACAGAAATCACTCCCCTTCTCTGCTTTTTAAAATCTATATAATGTTTGGCAACAGAGTAGATTAGTGGACACATTAATTTAGGTCAATACCTACTGCTTACATAGACATGACTGAATTGCAACTACATCTCCGCTGCCCTTCAATATGTAGAGATAGTTTTAAAACCTTAATACTGGTTTATCCTTATTGCTGACTGTTTCTCAATCTTTATGCAACTATCATTTCGGTTCAAAAAATTAAAAGCAAAGCATTTCAGTATAAAGAAACCAATTACAAAGAAAACAAAATGAGTCTTTCTTCTATGAGCTGGGGTCAATTCTGATTGACCTACTATTCCTCCCTTGTCAATTAAAATTAGTTAAGCATGTGGAAAGTACTTGTAGAAATAGTCTTATTTATTTTTTATATCACCACACTTCCAATAGACTCTTGGGGTACACAGCCTAAAACCATTTAATTTTGGTATCTTAAAATACCAAAATCCTACTATCATTGGCAGCTCCAATAAAATATAACTATTAAAAGGTCTTCTAAACAGCATTTTTGAGTACTCTTCAAAATATCAGCACACAATAGGGAACACTGCTGAAAAGAATTAGCTTCTGACCTCTTCCATCTTTTGCTGAGAAAAAAACCTTCAACTTCCCCATATGTGACATTTAAACTGAACAATTATGTTGCGTTTCAAGATGGTCCTTAAAGTACTTGGCCCAAGCCATCTAGGCCATCATAGGTCAAAAATGGCACTTTGAACTGTACCTGAAAGCTTACTGTAACCAATGCAGAATCTGTAACACTGGTGTTGTGAGCAGCAGTTCTCACCCACCAATAAGTGAACTACTGCGTTATGGAAATTGCTAGGAATGGTCCATCCTTGGCCACTTCCTGCCTACCAGACATTCCCCAGCTCCAATGTCTCTTTGTCCTCTGAGAAAGAGCCCTCCCCCGCAACCCCAGACAACATTCCACCACAATTGGGTTTTTGCATAAACAGCAATTTAGTCTTGCTTGGATTCAGCTTCCCCTAGTTTCTTCTCATTCAGACCTCGACAGCCCCTATATGAGAGATCAAAAGTTCCACTGCATCAGTGGCCTGGCCCAAAGTGAAGATCTAAGTAAATGTCAAAAGATAGTGAGAAAAAGAAAAGCCTCATAGCAATCCACATTTGGCACAATCTCCAAACCAACCTCTTTCTTCTCACGCTAACTACTAAAACTCCCATTTAGTAAGGAATAGAAGTGCTACATCAGCACCACCACTAAGCCTCACAAATAATCCAGAAAGTCCAAAGGGTTTAATAATGATAGTCAATTCAGAAGGATTGATTCCACCTGAGTCCTTGAATTGAAGCAAGATTTGCTTCCTTTTTCTATTCCAACATTACTTTCAGCGTTTCTATGCGGTACTATTAGTTTAAAGTCCTAATTTACAGAAGAGTTTTAGCAAAAGTAGTTACGTGCAAAAGGCTTTAATAATTTCAAAATTTCTGTGAAGCAGTTTATTTCTTTCGGGCATCCAACGTTTTATGAGAATGAAAAAAGTGTGTTTGGAGCCGATAACAGCTTACTCTTTTTCAGTTAACTAAACTTGACAAAGTTGTCCAGATGCTCTAAGTTCAAGTGATAGTAACATCTGTGTGTCTTGTTTATGCTTTGGCTCTTTATCTTACATCCATCCATGCTGGTACAGATGCAGACCAACCCAGCACCTTTGGAAAAGGATTATCTTTAACTACAAGATGAGACTTTTGAGATCACAGCTCTTCTGGAAAGTCTGTCTAACTTGTTAGCTATCCATCCCAGTATAAATAGCCAGTTCATAAAGACATTAAGCAACCCTTGTATTTGAGTGAGCACTGAGATTTAATAATTAAAATAATTAAAACCAAAGTCATTACAAACAGTGTTCCACAGTAAACATTCCTAACTTCTTAGAAGTAAAATTCCCTAAATTTTCATGAACAGCTATGTAGTATAGCACAAATATGGATAAATATATATCAAATATATTGAGGAATGAAAGCGACCTGTAAACCCATCAAAATGAATTATTGAATGGGAGATATGACTGAACAATTACACATTCACACATCTTAATCATTTAACCACATACAGGAAGTCCATACAATCACAATTAGAGGCAGAACTCCCTTCACTAAGTGATGTGGTTGTTAAATGATTTGTAAATCAAGAACTGCCTGGATAGCTAAAATGTCTTACAAGTGACCCACACGGATGAAATAGACGGATGAAATTCACGGATGAATTACTCCCTTCTAATCCAGTAGCAATTGAGTATATCTAATTGCAGATTTATACTGCATGTAGTAAATTAGTTCAATGCTAAATTTTAGTGACCACCCAGATTTTCTCTGGTATGATTTGTCCCTGGTCTGGTCCTTTGGAGTGCTCCAATGGCGAACCTAAAATAGTCATACTGCAAACCACAGCATGATTTGCTTCTGTTGGAAATAGTGTGTGCCCTGCATTTATATTAGAAGCTGCATCTTCTCCAACCATTTGTGGAAAAGACTAGTAGATATTAAGATTGCTAAAATAGTATATTGGCTGCCTAATAATTCTACTGTTAACTATGACATGAACATACAAGCAAGCCCAAAGTTTTATTTGCCTGCCAAAGGCAAACTGGAAGCTAACTTTCATTCAATTTAAAACTCAAGATTGTAGCTGGATATATGAATCCTGCTTCATACTTCAAGGCAGGCGTGAAAACCAGCAGGTTGACAGGTCCTGGAGAACTGGTAGCAGAAATTTTGAGTAGTGCGGAGAACCAGCAAATACCACCTCTGGCTGACCCCAGAGTGGGGAGGGAATGGGGATTTTGCAGTATCCTTCCCCTGCCACGCCCACTGAGCCATGCCCACAGAACCGGTAGTAAAAAAAATTTGAATTTCACCAGTGCTTCAAGGGTAGTTCAAAAAATGAAATCTAAATCATGTGTTATACCAAGGCAGGGAAAAAATGGAGGAAGGGGAGAGAATGAGAAAAAAATGTATAACAAATCAAATAGAACATAACCTACATAATAGCATAATCTATATTATCAAATATAGAGGGGTTTTAAAACTACTTGGAGATAATTTCACTAATCCCAGATTAATTCTGTTTAAATCTAGTGTTGTTCTGCCTCCCAGTAAGGAATAATCTGGGTGCTCTCAGCTCCACTTCACAATTTTTGCAAAAATAGAAGAGAAAAAGGAGGAAATGAACTGTTATGTTTCAAGCGGGCTTCATTATACATTCAACATTACTTTAAATAACATTTTAAATGAAACTGATTTCTTGCAGAACAATAACTATCCATATTTTAGAAGGGTAATTTCCTAATATTATAGAAAATTATAATATAATTTTTATAAAAAAAATTATAGAATTTATCACATTCACAAAATTTTAGTATAAATGGATAAAATAGAATTGCTTTTTGCTGTTTGATACTTCTTCCAAAATCTGAAGATTAGATTAGCTTAAACTCCACAAGAAACAAAATATTTATTTAGGAATAAACTTTGTCTCATGCAGAGACCAGTGAGAATTTTAAAGCCAGTTTTAACAAAATCTTTTATCATTCTCTGCTATTTTCAAAAGGAAAGCTATATGCTTTATGTTAAAGCCATTGTCACACTAAAATAAGCATATCTGAAGCTGTCATTTCAGAAGAAATATATAGTCAAATATTATCTGTCTTACCCATCCTCCTTGCTGGATGATGTAATCTGCAACATAATCTTCAAGATAGGTCACTCCAAAATTCACAAGTGCACCAAGTGGTTCTTGGCCCCGTTTGGACAGCTCTACCAAGAACCTCTGAAGAATCACCAAGGGCACTAAAACCTAGAAAAAGTAAGGACCAGGAACTGTAATATTGTGGCATAATGACAAAATTGTCTACATTTAAAGCATTTTATGCATGTTATACATTTGTGTGTGGGCATACAGTATTCATGCAAGCATACCCAGTATACTTACATGAAGAAAAGCCCATCAAAATATACATATATTATTTATAAGAGGAGCAAAAGTTAAAACCTTAACATGTTCAAATCTGAAAGAATATTAGAACACTCAATAGAATACTGGTCAATTATGTTATTGTCCAGAAGGCTAATTTATCTCATAATAAGTTTCTTCATTCATTGCTTATCAAAATTAAGCTTTTTTTTTTTTTTACATTATTTCAGAATTTCCTCCAAGCATTTGTTTTGAGTTTTGCAGGATTATTGGGTTAAAAGTAGCCCCCATTTTTAAGATTACTAAATGGAAAGAAGATAGGACTACATCTAATCAAAATATTACTGACACTTTAACCTAAACCTCTAGATGACTTCTCCAGTCATTTCATGAAGAAAATGAAACAATATTGCCCAAAAGTTGTTTCATTTGTTTTCTGCAGTTAATGCAATGAGGTGTAGGTGAAAGCTACAGCCAACTTACAATTTTTGGGTCAGAAAGCAATGCTAATATTTCTTTGTTGATAAGGCAATAGACTGAAAGCCTTGCCTTAAAAAAAACCCCCACTACTGGAATCAAACAGGACCTTTCTGGATCATAATTTTTAGTTTGCATTACTGATTTCCGTTTATCCTTCATATCACCTACTCCAATGTCTTCAAGCTTCATATACATGCATTAATATGCACTGTAAATAAAACATATTAAATATGTAATGTACTTACTCAACAATTATTTTTCCCAACTAATTATTAGTGAATCGGAGTTGTCTCAAAGATGTCCCTGAAAAGGAATGAATGCTGCAGACATCACTAAATAGCCATGTTAAATAAATCTGTCTGTCCATCCATTCATCCTGAATCTAATTAAGAATTAAGAAATTGGGTATTTTCAGGAAACTCAACTGGCACTGACTCAATATCCACTGAAAAGAAGTTTTAAAAAGTGATCTGGTCATTCATTACCTTGCTCCATCCACTGGCATGACTTGCTGCTTCCTGCGTCCTCTCTTTATATTCCTGATAATTCACTGATCTGAATGAGAGAAACCAAAAGGGAAGATAATGAAACTAAAGAAAGGCAAAATATAGCATTTTTCATGATATCTGTACACTACTAAACTAACCACATTAACCCAATCAAAAAGGCCAAAGCAGTTCTTTGGTTTCAAGAAGTTGGTCCAATCTATTAACATCTTAAACCACAAAACTGATGATAAAAATGATGATACAGACTTTGAAAAGCAAACAGCAAAAGTATAATACTGTGTTAACCAAATTTTGCCACGCTTCATGTCTTGAGCAGGTGTCAACTGCCCTCCACTCATAAACGGACATTGTCAGAAACTTAAATATTTTAATTTGCAACCCATCATTCTTATACAGAATTCAGGGTGTAATGACTTCTTAAGAAAAGTTAAATAGTTCACTCAGGAAAAAAATTGGAAGATTCAAATTCTGTTTTTAATATATGTATCTTATGTAATCTAGATTGAATTAGCTACAGTTAAAATCCATTATTTAACCACTATACACCCTCGTTAATTAAAAATCAGGTTCACATTGTGTATTTAGAAGCTGATTTATTTAGAAGCCAAAATTTTCTGATTTGTATGATAAATCACAGATATTAATACAGTTTAATAATAGAAGCAAACCACTTCAAACTCTTCCAATCACTTACATTTTTGTTACATAGATATAATTCTGCAAGCAACTTAATTTTATTATTTCTACGATATTAACTATCCCATCACATTGTTTTCAAGGTTCTCACAGAATGACCACTTCATGATAATCTATAGAATCTTCCCAAGTATCAGTATCACATGCTCCCTTGCATGAAGATAGGGACAATTCCCACCTCTAGTTTCCCACAATTCATTTGTTTTTCTCTTCAATACAGAAATATTTAACCAAACCAACAGCATTTCTTCCATGCTGCAGAATGCAATTCATTTTGCCCCAAGGATTTAAACTCATTCAAAATAAATAAGCATGTCTTGACTGTATTTTTGTTAACTTCAAATTTCAATTCTGCCTACTTGTACTAAGCATCACATATTCCTATGGGAAGACAACAATCTCATAGTACAGGAATAATATAATACATAAGTGAACAAAGATTTTTCAGTTAAAATTCAATTTGGATGCATCCTTTAAAGACACAGGACACACCAGAAGGAATGTGTTGAGCATAACATGTGGATTTGTATATCAGACACTTTCTGCTTAGAGCAACTAGTTATCAATTTAAATTCCACCATTGCTGTGAGTCAGCTTTAAGCAATACTGAATCTGGATTCAGCTAACTGAACCACAGTGTTATGGCTTCCAATTTGTAGTTTGACATGACCTTCTTCTGGAATATTTTTCCAGTTTCCCAGTCTAACCTTCTGTCCTGTGACTTCCTCCTGAGTTCCCCTCTAATAACTAAATGGCTCTGACATTGCTTAGATTTTCCAGATTAACCAAGTTTGGATAGGTGTTGCATCGCCTGTAACATTATATTTAATAGGTCCAGTCCTAATTAAATAAACCAAGTTTACAGTGTCACCTAGTATGCGTCCCAGATTATCTGGACCTATGGGTTTAATTATAACATCTGGTTGACATCAAGAAATGAATATTTAGCCCTATGTTACATATAATTGCTGTTTTTCCAACATAGGGCTTTATGGAATACTGTAGAACATCATTTTCAGCTGTGGAAAGTATTTTTCTGACCAACTGTATGTTTTTCAGAAATTATTTTTCTAATTTATGGAGATTGGCTGTATTACAGGAAGTCCTCAGATTACAATAGCAATTGGGACAGGAATTTCCATCACTAATCAATGTGGTCATAAACTGTGATCTCATGTGACTGCATCACTTAATGACAGCAATCCTGGCAGTCCTTGTTGTTATTATTAAGCAAGAACTGTTAGAGTTGTTAAGCAAGGACTTAAATGTGGGAAGAGGCACTGAAACTGTGTCCCAGGCAAGCAGACCAGTGGGTGAGAGCTATGGGCAGGTACTGTGGATGGGCACTACCGAGGGCTGGTTCTGTAGGCAGGTAGACCCAACCAAGTATGAATTCTCCATGCCACCTGGGGCTCCTCAGGATTAAAAATAGCAGGAGCAAGAGCAGAAGCAACCTGTGACCTCCTGCCAGCTTCTCAACTGACTTTGTTTGTGGGAAGGTGGCAGAGAACCTTGCAAAGGGCACTCACATCATCAGAGAATGCTGGCATTGGTTGCCAAGTGCTAGAATTGCAATCACAAGACCACAGAAATGTGTGACAGCTGCATCTTTGAGGACTGATCAAAACTCCCCCTTACAAAGCACCAGCATAACTTTGAACGGTTATGGCATAACCTGAGGACTATCTTTACTTTAAAAAAAAAAAAAATCCTAAAAACAATTTATGAAAACCTTGACTGGCTTGACCCCATCCTTGCGGTTTTAAATTTATAATTGGTTTTAATTGGGTTATTTTAAATTGATGGCCAAAATTATTTAATGTTTTTTAAATTGTTTTTAAATTTTATATGTTGTGTTTTTACCGTGGCTGTTCACCGCCCTGAGTCCTGTTGGAGAAGGGCGGTATACAAAATAAATAAATAAATAAATAAATAAATAAATAAATAAATAAATAAATAATAAATAAATAAATAAATAAATAAATAAATTAAATAAAACAAAACCTAATTACAATATTTAGTATACCTTAGCACATCTTACTGAGAATTTAGTGAGAGAAATAAATTGCCACTTATACTGCATAAATGAGTATATTATAACTGCATAAATTATACAATAGCTACTATATATCAAACACTAGAGACAGGCTTTTGCTGTTGTCAACAAACTGACAGAAAGTATATATACTCTGAAATACTGAAAGTATATATACTATCTGAAATCTGTCAAGTAGTTACTATATTGTAAATCACACAGAGCCATTTGGAATTGAGCAGAATACAAATTAGTGTTTCTTCACTCCAGTGACAATATCAGCCAATAATTATATTGTGATTTATTTATGTACCTGATTTTAAATGAACAATGCTAATAGAGAATTACCCTAAAGTCATTTGTATGACGGAGAAGAAATCAGTATAAAATGGAAAATTGTGTTGATGATCTGTTCTTAAATGCAATATCATTTCTCAAATTTTACATATCATGTTTTTCAGGATAATCAGAGAAATCTCAACTGTAAATCTTCCACTGCCATATTTGGTTCTATAGATGCTTTATAGACTGCAAGCTTGTTTAAGAAAGACATTAGTTTTTCTAGATAGAATAAAACTCCAATGCCTTTTAAAATTCTTTCTTTTACAAATTATTGCAGTTTGAAATTCCATTCACTGCTGTATTTATCTCACAGACCAAAATAAAATGGAATTGAATTTGTAATCTAAAGTATTATATAACACAGAGGTGCTATCACATATAGCAAGTTATTGTGATACTTTTTATCTTATCATATTAACATTCATAGTATTAACAACATTAATGCTTGAATTTTATAATATCTCAATTTACATATCAATTTTTTCAACCCAATCAAAGTACGAGTGTACTATATCTGATCATGCTTTGCTTTCTGAGACCAATTTGCCAACGTTATAACTTCTTTAATAAAGTTAGATAAAGACATCAGGGTAGGAAAAGGAAACCAACAAGTATGTATATATGACAGGTTCTTGTATATGTAAAGTTTAATAGAATACTTCAATGACCATACTGCATTATCATTGTTTATACCTGATCTATGCAAGCATAAGTAACTAATAAACAGTGTAGTTTTAGCAAAGGTATCAATTTCCTACCTAATATTAACACATATTGATGACCTACATTACAGCAAGTTCCACTTTTCTATTTGATACCTTATTAAATGTCAGGAGTGCTTCCCCTATGAAAATAGAGAAGCAATTTTAATAGAAAACGTACACCCGCTATGTGTTTGGCAACATTTGTGGTTTGTAAAATACAAAGATATCAGTATTAGCCCTACAGTATAGCATCCAGTATTGAATATTTGGGATGAAAGATTCATCTAATATGAATAATAACCTGTTATTTTTTTAATATAAACAATGCTGCACTTCAGTGGTTAGATGCTCTAGACCAGGGGTGTCAAACTGGATTTCTTCAAGGGCCAGATCAGCATTGTGGTCCTCCTCCGTGGGCTGGCAGGGCAGAGAGGGCGGGGGGAATGCCTCCTGCAGCACTCTGCCGGCCAAAATGGGGTGCAGGGAGTCCACATGTGGCCTCCATGCACCTCTGCCGGGGCCGTTTTTGGCTCATTTTTCCAGCCATTTTAAGCTGTTTTTCAGACCATTTTTCAGGTAGTTTTTGGGGTCGTTTTTCAGTTCATTTTCAGGGCCCTTTTTGGCTTATTTTCCGGGCCATTTTCAGGCCTTTATTGGCCCATTTCCAGGGCTGTTTTTGGCTAATTTTTTGGGCCATTTTCAGCTGGCAGAGTGCTGCAAGAGACCATGGAGGATGAAAACAAGGCGCAGGGGGCTGCACGCAGCCCGTTTTAACCGCCAGAGGGACTGCAGGCTGGTTCTTTCATATTTCTAGGCTGGCCTCGCAGGCCAGATTTAGGCACCCCACTGGCCAGATCCAGCCCACAGGCCTTGAGTTTGACAACCCTCTTCTAGACATTGATATTTGAACATAGATCTTTTAAACATTTATATTTTACTAGGTTGTACTTATAGTTGAAACGTTAATATATATTGCTAGTCCATGTATGATATGTTATGTTAATAAATAACCTTTTATTTTGTTGGCCATTTCATTTTCTTGGCCACTGGGTATGACAAATGTGCTTTCTTTGTGTTGGATCAAAATTCCAGGTTTAAATAATAGAAAAAGTGCTAGTTCATTTCCTGCAATAATCAGCAAGCACATACTTTTGAGAGCAAGTCAATTAAGGTAACAAAAAGCTGTAGCAAAATTCAGTCACATCAGCATTATCAAAATTGTGAGAATTTTAAGAGCAAGTACCTTCCTGCTGAGCAAAGCAAATGAGAACTCACTTGCTAAGTAGGATCTCTAATGCCTTTTCAATGGGTTCTTTCAATTCTTGGAATACTTTCTCTCCAAGATGAGCTAAGCAGTCTTCAATTGAAGTCTCAGGGTTTGCAGGACTAAATACTGGAGATGTGTGGCAGTCAAAGCCAGTTGTAGTGAAAGCTGAAAATGAACAGCAGAATTCATTTAGCAAGGATTTATATCACGAGTGAAAACAATATATTATAAAAAGAGGAATTCATTCAAGTGTACATTATTAAGAATACAACTAGGAAGAATACAATAAAGGTACAGAAAAATAAAAGGTAACCCATCATATAATACTAAAATAAACAGAGTAATAATATGTAGGAATTCTATTTTTATTCACGCCCGCTCAACCTCCAATGAAAATTGTCAAAACAGTTAATTTAAATCTTGTTGGATTATACCTTTATATCAAATATTTCAAAAGCTGTGATTAACAAGTTAAGTGAGTGGTCAAATCATGGTAGTGATGTTTGTTTTAAGAGTCCTTCCTCTGGGAAGAAGGAAAAATAATACCCCCTCATAGCATTAACAATACAGGAAGAAAAGTATACCAATATGTACAGACCTTCCAAAATTTCTTCATCAAGATGTTTCAATTCTTCCTCAATTTCGGCTTTAACTTTCTCCAAGATCTCTTTTTCTACAGCTTGTGAGAACGTAGATGGATCTGTGCATGGATGAGCAGCAAAGATCAATCACTAGTATATATATTTGCACTAAAGCAAATGTACTTTATTTTATCATAAACTTAGAAAGTCAAGACTGTGTACTTAATACATGGAAAAATTTAAGCAAACTTTTCAACAGCAAAGCATAACTGAAGAAAACTAATCATAAGGAATACTACACCTATTGAATCCTTTTACATTTACATTAGTGGGATAGTGCTGTAAATACATGTTTAATAATGGGAACTGCAAGAAAATTAAGACTAATTAAAGTGACGTCTTTGGGGATCAATACCTATAAATATCCGCAAATCTGAGATATTTAATTTCCTGGAAGATTATTTATTTTTAAATTTTTAAGCTATCCATCTCACCAAGGCAACTCTAGGCAGCTTACAGTCCTACAATTAAAATACCATTTAAAAAATTCAAACAATAAATAAGAACCATACATTTGAAATTCATTTAATTAAAATAGAAAGGAAGGGAGCAATGTGTGCATGGGGAAGAGGTGGGGTCTGGCTAAATTCATTAACTAACTCCAAGATACCACTTGTTAATTGGGGCTCCAGGTCAGCTAGCCGAACCAGATCTTGAAGCCCTTCCGGAAGGCCAGAAGGAAGGGTATAGATCTCATCTCGGGGAGGGGGGGGCAGGATGTTCTAGAGGTCAGATGCCACAGCAGAAAAGGCTCTTCTCCTGAACTCCGTCAGCCAAAGTTCCTTGATCGAGGGGGCCCTGCAGTATGCCTTTTCTGCCAATTTGGGTGGGGCAGACTAATCCCATCAGGATGACCTGGTTTCTCAGATAACTTGGACTCATGCCACAAAGGGTAGGGTGTTGCCATTAAGGGCTTCCAATACCTTGAATTAGACCCGGAAGCAAACTGGCAATCAGTGCAGCTCACAAAGGTGTAACATGGGCCGTCCTAGGGGCACCAAGAACTGCCTGCACAGCTGTGTTCTATACCAGCTGAAGCTTCCAGATACACTTCAAGGGCAGCTCCATGTAGAGTGTGCTGCAACAGTCCAACAGGTTGTTGAGAGTGTGGTCGCGCGACAGTTTCCACAATTCCTGGAGGAAACATCTTATCTAGATCCGTTCCAGTCGGGTTTCAGGTCTGGGCACAGCACGGAAACGGCATTGGTCGCGTTGGTTGATGATCTCTGGAGGGCTCGGGACAGGGGGTTGCTCCTCTGTTCTGGTCCTGTTAGACCTCTCAGCGGCTTTTGATACCATCGACCATGGTATCATGCTGCACTGGCTGGAAGAGTTGGGGGTGGGAGGCACCGTATTGCGGTGGTTCTCCTCCTTTCTCTCCGACCGGTCGCAGTTTGTGTTGGCAGGGGGGCAGAGGTCGACCTCGAGGCCTCTCATCTGTGGAGTGCCACAGGGATCGGTCCTCTCGCCCCTTCTGTTCAACATTTATGTGAAGCCGCTGGGCGAGATCATCCGTGGCTTCGGGGTGAGATACCATCAGTACGCTGATGACACCCAGCTGTACATCTCCACCCCAGGCCACCCCAACGATGCCCTTGAAGTGATGTCTCAGTGCCTGGAGGCTGTGCGGATCTGGATGGGGAGGAACAGGCTCAAGCTCAACCCTTCCAAGACTGAGTGGCTGTGGCTCCCGGCATCCCGATATAGTCAGTTGACTCCATCACTGACTATTGGGGGCGAGTCCTTGGCCCCCACAGAAAGGGCTCGCAATCTGGGAGTCCTCCTGGATATGCAGCTGACCTTGGAGGAACATCTGACGGCTGTAACCAGGGGGACCTTTTATCAGGTTCGCCTGATTCGCCAGTTGCGGCCCTTTCTTGATCGGGATTCCCTGTGCACAGTCACTCACGCCCTCGTCACCTCTCGCCTTGACTACTGCAATGCTCTCTACATGGGGCTCCCCTTGAGGGGCACCCAGAGGCTCCAGCTGGTCCAGAACGCAGCAGCGCAGGTAGTGATGGGAGCAGCATGGCGCTCCCATGTAACACCGCTCCTGCGTGAGCTGCACTGGCTCCCGGTGGTCTTCCGGGTGCGCTCCAAGGTGTTGGTTATCACCTTTAAAGCGCTCCATGGCATAGGGCCTAGCTATCTTCGAGACCGCCTGCTGCTACCAACGACCTCCCAGCGACCCGTGCGCTCCCACAGAGAGGGCCTCCTCAGGGTGCCATCAGCCAAACAATGTAGGCTGGTGACCCCCAGGGGGAGAGCCTTCTCTGTGGGGGCACCTACCCTCTGGAATCAGCTGCCCCCAGAGATAAGGAGAATCCAAGACCTCAGTGCCTTCCGCCGTGCCCTTAAAACCCACTTTTTCCAGCAAGCCGGGCTGGCTTAGGAAGAACTTTTTAAAAAATTTTAAATGTTTAATTGGTTTGTGATTTTTTAAAATTTTGGGCCAAATTTATATAGATTTTAATTGTTTTTAATATTTGTATTTCATGTTTTTAATTCTGGCTGTGCACTGCCCTGAGTCCTCAGGGAGAAGGGCGGTATATAAATTGAAAAATAAAAATAAAATAAAAAAATAAAACTGAGAGATGAAGAGGACTTGAGTGACTGAGCGCAGGGACATTCTTAGAATAATGCACATATTAACTCTTAGAAGTGTTTTACTTGCATTTACTATTTAAATAGTATACTCTCTTAACTAGAATATTCTACTATTCTGTTATTTTTTCCTTCTTATTCATGTTTGCAGAAGAAAACATGCTTCCCACCTCTAGAAAAGTTTCTGACTGCCACAGACTGGTGCATATATAGCAGTGTCTCATTTCACAAAAAGCTTAATTTTTTTTTTTTTTTGCTATGAAGAAGAAACACTGATTCTTATGTAACTACAAATTTCTGCAACAGTACTTCCATTTTAGGAGGTCGGTGAAAAGACTGAGACCACAAAGTACCCTTTTTCCACCATGGCACCAATGCTCTAGAAATGTTTTCCTCTAGAACAGATTGGCTCCTCAGTGGTTGGCTTCTGGAAGTTGCTAAGATCAAACTTTTCTGCAGGACCTTCAAGGAATGGGCATCAACATTTGGATGCTTATTCATTCATTTACTTATTCTTTGTGCATTAATTACTGTTTTTGGTTATGAACCGGAGGTGTTCTGTTCTTTACAACAAAATGTTATTGTGTTTTGCTATGTATCTACTGCCAAGATTCTGTAATGATTGGGCACCATACAGGTAAAATATTGTATAGAACAACCTGCCCTGTTCCAAGGGTATTATAAAATTTCCTCTTCTTATTGTAGGGCAGTATTAAAATAACATTCATCTGCACAATACTCACAAAACTGGAAACGAACTGTTAATGTTCCAGAATTGTTTGATGGTTCCCATGTACAAAATATGTATTAAGGATATTTTTTCTCTAGAGATAAAGCTAACTCTTACGATTACTACCATAGATGATTTAATTACATTACTCATATGCTTAACATTTAGAATTAGTATTAAAATTATTTTGATGACCAATCCCAATGGAATTACTTATTAAAAGTAAAATTAAGACCCTTTCAAATATAGACAATGCTACTTAAGTGAAAAATATCAATACCTTTTTTTCTCGGCACCAGACTTTGGTGTATTATCTTATCATTCAGTAAAATAGTGTTCACAATTTACATTTTAAAAATATTTTAAAATTCCATTTATTACATATTTAACTGCAGCTGAACTGAATATCTTACCTTGAGTGGACAGAGAGGGCTGTTCCTGAGGCTTTTCCTGTGACAAGAGACCCAAATAATTGAGGACAACATATTTTGTTTCATAATGAAAACCTACAGGTACAGCAGTAGAGGATGCCATTGAGTTGGCTTCCAAAATTCCGTAGGATTATGGCCCACGTAATGTTTTCTTCGTTTATTATCTAAATAAGGAAAAATACACATTTAATTTTTGAAATTTGCAACCACACAAGCAAAATTATGTCAGCACACATTTATTATTATACTTCAGGTTCACATATCAACATAAATATCTAAAGAAATAAGAAATTATATAAACTTTATAGCAAGTTGTCAAATTTATCATTAGATGTATTTTAGGATCACCTGGCTTGCTGACAGGACTTGTGAAAAAAGATCTTGGAATAGCAGTAATAGATTGCAAACTGAACATGACTCATAGGTGTGACAATGTTTTAGAAAAAGCAAATGCAATGTTAGGTTATATTAAAAGATGTATTTTATTCTGTATTGGTCAGATTTTATTGTAATAAGTCTTAAACTACCTGGAATAGTTTAGAGGAGGGTAATAAATGAAAAAAATAAGAGTTTAGGATGAAACAACTTCCCAGAGAGCTGGAACAGCTCTTCATTAAATATGTTCAATCAGAGGCTGGACATCTACTAGTCATGGATAGTTTAATTTGGATTCCTGCATGGAATGTGATAATATAAACAGCTCCTTTGAACTCTATTCTACTATAAAATACTCTACAGATTGACACAGCTTTACTAAACTCTTTGCCCGAATAACATAACAAGAAATTCCATCACAGATTTCTGTTTAGAAATTGATAAACAGGAAAAACATACAAATAGTATGAAAGTCACTTTTTTATGTTTACTATTTCTAATATTCACACTTTCTTACTGTAGGTTTTTTGTAACTGCAATAACATGAAATATAGAAGGACTGGAAAAAATGTGCGTTCAGTTCAAATAGCCTTCTTGAAAATTAATAAGCAACTTGAGATCTGAAATGGTCCTTGGCAAAGAATACTAGTGGATTTCCTAATTAGGTGACTTGCACCTATACCAGCCTCTAAAATACTTCATTACAGAAATTGTAATAATTATATTAGGGTCCTTGTAGATGATTAAAGGTCTTTCCCCACTTGCCTTTCAATACTGTACAAACAATTCCTACTGTGCTTAATTTTGCCATATTTCCATGTTCCTCTTATCCTCAATCTTGCTAAGCAATCTTATATTGTGGTTACAAGTATTGGTGTTAAAGAGTTTCCCTAACAGCAACTGATGTTGCAATTTACAGCAATTTGCAGATATGCACAATCTGCCTTGTTTTGCCACAGATGAGAGTTACATGACCTATAAGGAACAGGGTGAGTTATAGTGACCTATTGATCACTTTGGGATTGTCTGTTCACATCTGCATTCTCTTCTCTTTAGGTTTTGGGTGTTTGTCTCTGACCCATTCCTTCCCCCCCCACCCCGATAGGGGCACAGAGGGCACAACTGCCAGTTCCATTGTATCTGAGTGTTCCCCACAGCCTGCTGAATAGTTGATCAACAACTGGAGGAACTGAATAGGAAAGCAGGAAAGTCAGCTCTCTGATTAGGGCTTGAGAAAGCCCTTTATAGCAATTAGCTGCCTGGAAATGCTGGTTTAGACACTCTGTACAACTAATAAATTGCAACCAGCCCAAGAATTGCCTGCTGAAATACATTTAAAAAACAGACGTTATGTGAACTATATTTCAAATTTCTAATTAAACAAATGAACAGCATAATATATTTCAATAATACTATCAGCTATTATTCAAGTTATTTTGGAATTTTGTAAAGATAAATCCAATCTGGCCATGTTTGTCATTCTATCACTTATTTTACTGAAGCAGTCTTTAGATGCAGGTATTCCTACCATAATTTGTACTATAAAATTTTCTGTAGGAAATAAATTAGTAATATGTTTGCAGCTTTAATCTAGTAAAACTGCTTTCTCTTCTAGCCCTTAAAGCAGTTGTTATCTTTTTCCTGGAATTGTGTATCTATCCTCCACATATAGGCTGTGGGTTCTAGCCTCAGTTTAACATGAAGTCATCTGGGTGACCTCTTACCAGTCACTCTCTTTCAGCCCTAGAAAGCTGTCAATGGCAAAATGTTTGTGAACTCTTGTTAAGAAAACTGCATTAAATATTCCAGTCAGTTGCCAGGCATCAACACTGACTTGAAGGCATGCATAAACTTATGTGCACACACAGACACATAGTTAACTATTTCATGACACAGAAGTAGTCCTCAGTTAATGACACCATTTGGGACTGGAATTTTTGTCACTATATGTGATTGTAAAGCAATATACCATGTAATCGCATGACTTAGCAGTCAGTTATTTGAGTTTCAACCAAAAATCATGATGGATAATCAGATTGACAACTCCAGATGCTGAAAAGAGTTCCAATACCCAAATAATTCACTCAATTATTGTAAGTTAAAAAAAATACCTATCTGCTAGTTCTCAGTTTAATAGTGTATATAATTTTCCTATTACTATATGACTATATAAAGCTAATTAACATTATGAAGGAAAGTGAGATAGACAAAAAAAACCTTTTTAATGTCTAAAGGATCAATTTAAATATATCAAATACTTTGAGATAAGAAATCTGTGGCATATTTTACAATGATTGTAAAATTTGTTACAAATTTTGGGATGTTACAAAATGACTACAATAGGGGAAATGGCCAATCACAAAAAAAAAATCCATTTATATGAAAGCAAATATATGAAATTACTTCCCACAACACTTCTAGATTTTTTAACTCACTTCTTCTCGGGATAGGTGGCCTTACTGTTCTATAGACATCATCATTTTTATTTAGGCAGAGCAGGAGAGCTCAGCCTCTATTCCATTCAAAACTTTATACCATATTCAGTTATCAAGTCACAAACAGCAGTCCTCTTGGTTTTTTTGTTCCTTTTCTGCCCATGCAATTTTTTTTAAATTTTTTTTTTGCCTGCAAGATTGTTCTGTATCCCAACTGATTATGGTCAATTATTTTGTCTATCTTGTGCTTTCTTCTAACCAAATGAGTTAGAGTTATTATAGAGAGTAAGAAAGGTTACTTTTACGGAAACATGAAAGAATTGTTATTTAGGCAAAAGGGAGGACGAGGGATGAGGAAACCAACAAAATCAGACATGCAAATTTCTGTTATTATGGCCAATAAAATTCATTCTTTCTTTCTTTCCTTCTTCCTTTCTTCCTTCCTTCCTTTCTTTCTTCCTTCCTTCTTTTTCTTCCTTCCTTCCTTCCTTTCTTTCTTTCTTTCTTGTGGTTTCTTGATCTGGTCTGCCTGGAGGCCTTGATTAATAGTTAACAGTTACCTCTGCAAAGGTATGTACTGTATGTACTCCCAGCATAATCACAAGGCTATCCCACCAACTGATTCTGCCTCTGCCAGACAAAAACTTATTTAGTCCACAATATTTTTAATCCTTGTGGCAGGCAAAACAGAAACAAGAGCTATCCTATATCAGCCCACAAAGTGGACCACCTTATCCACGTAACCAAATCATAGACCATGTACCCCCTTTTCCATTCCATTCCTTCCCTTTAAGTGAGGAAAGATATGGAGGGGGGGGGCTCCACAGTCTCCCAAATGGCTGCAGCTCACAGAAACCTTGGGGGGGGGGGGGGGGTTTGGCAAGAGGAATGAGCCCCGCCCTTCCCACCGAGGCCCACTGAAGGCACCAGGCCAGGCTAAATTCCACCTGCTGAGCCCAAACGATGCTCCCACCCCTCAGCACAGAACCGTGACTACTAAACCCATGCTCCACAGTTAACTCTGAGGAGGCCGGGGCGCACAAGAGATGAAGGGAAGCGTTTGGTGACTGGGAAGGGACGGGGGGGGGGGGGCACCGGGGGCCGGGGGGGGGCCGCGGGAAAAAGGGGGGGGGGGGGAAAGGGGGAAGGGGGGGGGGGGGGGAAGAGAAAGGGAGAAAGATGATAAGGGAGTAGCCCTCTCCAACGCACCCACGAATCAGGGCTCCGGCCTCCTCACCCACCCACCCACCCCCGCCTCCCGGGTCAGTCACCCCCTGAGCGCGCAACTAACCGCCCAGCACCCTCGGGGCGGCACGCGACCAAAGAGGAACCACGCGCGAACGAACCCTGAGGCAGCTTTTCTTTCCACTCCCCTTCTGGGAAGTGAACTGGGAGGATGAGGCTTTCCTGGCCGTTCGGCTTCTTACCTGAGTCTCGCGAGGATAAGACCGATTTAAAAAAAAAAAAAAAAAAAAAAGAGGCAGAGGTCAAAGCGAGGGAGGGCGCGCGACGCTCCCTCGAAAGTGACCCTTGCCGCCTGTCGGTGCTGCGCGCGCAGCAACATCCTCCTTTCTCCTCCCCTTGCCCCCCACCCCCGCCGTCACTCCTCCAGAAAAGCAGCTGCCGTGGCCGCCATGCCGGGCGAGGGCAGAAGAAGGGGGTTTTTTTTGAAGGCGGCGGGCGCGCGCGAGGGCGTGTGACGTCACCCGTGGTGTAGCGGAGGAGGTGACTAAGCAGATTCACGCCGCGACGCTTAGCGAGAGGATTTTTGAGAACGACGTGGTTTAAACGCTCGGACATAGAGATAGAAAATGTAGAGTTGTACGATGCGGTGCGGTACTTTTTTTTTTTTTCTTCCTTTCAATAATCTCAGCGGGCCAGCTTCATACTTGGACGATTTGTTTGTTTATTTCACAGTTTTTGTAACCTATTCCTACTTATACATTTTGCGTCGTGGATAATAAGGTGCAAACGCAGTATAGAAGCTAAAAGAGAAGATATGCAATTAATACACACACACACACACGATACTCCTAGTTACAGGCACAATTGTTGTAAACTAGTGTTCCTTAAACTTGACAACATTAAGATGTTTGGGCTTCAAATCCCAGAATTCTCCAACCACCATGTTTGAAATCTATATATCTTTTTTTTTAATTTTTTTTTATATTTTTTAAATTAAAAACATTACAAACAACATATACAATATTTCACCCTGTGCTATACATAAGAAAGGAAGATTTGGTTCTTCGGATATATCCTCATGATCGCCAAAATCCACGTTCTCGGGGTACAGGTACCGAAGCATCCAATTTTCCCAGCGCATAGTCCACAAATGGTTTCCAAATTTTCCAGAAAATATCTTCTTTATAGTCACCATTTCTAATTTTAATATCACATGTCATTTTATCATTTAAAGCTAATTTCCACATTTCTATATATCTTAAAGTTGCCAAATTTGAGAAACACTGGTAAGTTTTTCAAGTATTTGGAATAGAAAGGCTACTCAAAGCTACAGAAACAAGACCTCTGAGTCCCCAGGTTAACTTCTGGCCTACGGTCTCCTAGATGTCATTGTCTCTTCAACGCTCCACAGTTTGGGAAATCTGCAGTTTCCTGGCCATCCCCAAAGATTGCCCCACTCTAAGCATACTAGCAATCCAGCCCAGGAGCCTCCTGGTTCAAAATGGGTTGTAAGTGGTGCGCCAGACATTGGTGGTTTCAATTTTTTTTACTACCAGTTCTGTGGGTGTGGCTTGGTGGGCGTGGCATGGTTTGGTGGGCGTGGCTTGGCTTGGGCATGGCAGGGGAAGGATACTATAAAATCTCCATTCCCACCCCACTCCAGGGGAAGGATACTGTAAAATCTCCATTCCCACCCCACTCCAGGGGAAGGATACTGTAAAATCTCCATTCCCTCCCCAATCCGAGGGAAGGTTACTGCAAAATCCCCATTTCCTCCCGATCAGCTGGGATTTGGGAGGCAGAGAATAAATGGGGACAGGGACAGTCAGAATTTTTACTACCGGTTCTCCGAACTACTCAAAATTTCCGCTACCAGTTTCTCCACAATTGGTCAGAACTTGCTGAAACCCACCTCTGGCGCCAGCCAATACCGGAAAGCCACTCATGACAGCAATCTACCGGTAAATGTGCAGCTTAAGTGCTCCACCTCCCCATTCACAGGAACTGAGAGTTGAAGCTTTGTCTGCTTATTGACAAAAGACAACCAGGACTTGGAGCGATTCAGTGTATTTCAACCCATCTGGGCCATGACTGACTCCGGATAAAGGTTCAAACTTTCATAGTATTCCTGTTGCGTGACCTGCAACTGCCTTTCTATTATTCAGACATTAAAAAGCAACAGATGGTTTTCTTCTACTTTCCTCCTACTGGTACTAACAAATCTACATATCTCACAAGAGGCTAATTTTAATAGATTTTAGATTTTGAAAAGTTTTTAGAAGAATCAATTCCTAAATAGACTAGACTAGACTAGACTAGACTAGACTAGACTAGACTAGACTAGACTAGACTAGACTAGACTAGACTAGACTAGAATAGAATAGAATAGAATAGAATAGAATAGAATAGAATAGAATTATTACAAATAGAATAAAATAGAATTAACACAGCCTTTACAATTTCCCTATTTATTTTCCCCCCCTTAATTATGTAACTTGGGGAGATCTTGGAAACTCGGTAATGAACAACAGTTTTGCCAATCAACTTGCGTTAACTGTATCCAGATTCAATCTTTAAAAAAAATAATAAAGGAGGGGAGCGAGGAACTTTTGGACAGCCTTCCATCGCTTTCCTTAATGTAGATGGGTTATCCGACATGAGCCGGAAAGGACCTGTATACTGCACGAGTCAAAAAAAGGGCTGTGAAAATATCTACAGACCCCTCACATCCTGGACGTAAATTGTTTCAACTTCTACCCTCAAAAAGACGCTATAGAGCACTGCACACCAAAACAACTAGACATAAGGACAGTTTTTTTCCCGAATGTCCTCACTCTGCTTAACAACTAATTCCCAGAACACTGTCAAATAATTTACTAAGACTGTAATACTATTCTTCTCTTCCTTACTTGTATATATATTGCTCAAAAAAATAAAGGGAACACAAGCAGAAGACATCCGAGATCTGAATGAATGAAATAGCCTTATTAAATACTTTGTTCTTTTACATACAGTAGTTTATACACTGCTCAATCAACTAAAGGGAACACAAAACTACTGTATGTAACGAACAAAGTATTTAATAAGGCTATTTCATTCATTCAGATCTTGGATGTCTTCTGCTTGTGTTCCCTTTATTTTTTTGAGCAGTGTATATCTCTTCCCGCTTATTATTATAACCATGTTGCTTCTATCTTTCAATTTATATTTTTTCTGTTTCCTAGTGCGATTTGATTAACAGATTAACAGAGTTGGAAGGGACCACTTGCAGGTCATGGAGTCCAACCCCCTGCCCAAGCAGGAGACCCTACATCTGCCTCTACCTAGGATCGAACTTACAACTTCCTGATTGTGAAGCAAGAGCTCCATCTCTAGGCCCCCTGGCCTTGAGAGCTTATTAGTAACCTTGACTATCACTAAGTGCTGTATCTTTTTATTGTTGATGAATGTATTTTATTCTCCTTATGTACACCGGGAGCATATACACCAAAGACAAATTCCTTGTGTGTCCAATCACACTTGGCCAATAAAGAATTCTATTCTATTCTGTTCTGTTCTGTTCTATTCTATTCTACTCTACTCTATTCTATTCTCTATCTCTTCCCACTTATTAATATAACCATGTCGCTTGTATCTTTCAATTATATGTTTTTATTTGTTTCCTAGTACGATTTGATAGATTATTAGTAAACTTGACTATCACTAAGTGCTGCATCTTTTTATTGTTGATGAATGTATTTTATTCTCCTTGTGTACACAGAGAGCATATGCCACCGAAGCCAAATTCCTTGTGCGTCCAATCACACTTCGCCAATAAAGAATTCTATTCTATTCTATTCTATTCTATTCTATTCTATTCTATTCTATTCTATTCTATTCTATTCTATTCTCTATCTCTTCCCACTTATTAATATAACCATGTCGCTTGTATCTTTCAATTATATGTTTTTATTTGTTTCCTAGTACGATTTGATAGCTTATTAGTAACCTTGACTATCACTAAGTGCTGCATCTTTTTATTCTTGATGAATGTATTGTATTCTCCTTGTGTACACCGAGAGCATATGCACCGAAGCCAAATTCCTTGTGCGTCCAATCACACTTGGCCAATAAAAGAATCCTATCCTATCCTATCCTATCCTAAAGCGCGCTCTTCCTTATTACAAATCCCGAAGTCCCTTGAGTGAAAGACGGCCCCTTCCGCGTTGATGATG